TGCTCTAAAAGTTAACCAAGCAACATAGAGTGAATGAAGCAATCCTTGCAAATCAGAAGCCTGAGGAATGTGGAGATTAGGGTTCTGAAAATAATGCCAGCCTCTGAAATAAGCAAGCATTTCAAAAGCAAGAATCGCCATGGAAGTCACTAAGAAAGCTCTAATAACTCCAAACAGTAACCTCCCTCTTCCCAACTTCCCGCCTTCAATGGCGACTCCTTGCCTGTAGATCAGCCTCTTCTTGATTGTTCCCAATAAGGCCCAGAGGACTGTAACAAGCCAAGTAATGCAACCGACAGCTCGATTGGCTTTTAAAAGAAGAACCCATGTGACTTGTTTAGCATTTTTGCCTCTACTTTTTTCCACCGGCCGGAATGCGGCGTCAGGACCGTCGATCTCAACGACGGAGAAGTTGGGTTTCTCCATCGTCACAACCACCGGAGTTCCCTTTTGAGAGTCCTTCTCCGTTCCCCACCAACACAAAAACCCCAATCTCGGTGCCATTTCTGAAACACACTTCAAAAACAAACAAACAAACAAACCCAGATTTCCAAAACGAAAAAGAAGAATCAAACGATCACGGCCGACGAAATTAGTTCCAACTCAAAACCCATTTCAAAAAATCAAAAACCCAACAAAACCCACAAAAAAAAACTTCAATAAAAAACTATTCCATTACACAGAATCAAAATCAATGCAGCAGAGAAGAAGAAGAACAAAAACAAGAGAGTGAGAAGCTCTTTAGTAATCGATTGAACGCTCTAAAACAAACCAACATGGGGAAAAAACCACATTATGAGGAAAGGTATCTGCAGCTTCATGTGGGGTAATGGTCACGTAATGGAAACAGGGAGAGCTCTTTTTTAACAGCTCGAAAGTTCTTTCTGAGTGAAGACGTATTGCTTAGCTAAGCGAAACAGTGGAGAAGATGAAGAAAATTGACCGAATGAAGACGAAATTTCGTCAAGAATTGACCAATTTTGGGCAGTTGAATTGGAGGAACTGTGTAGTGAGAAGAGGCATCATCATTGGACCGCTGAGAATATTAAATTGGGAGAAACAAAAGCGATTTCCACGCGACCTTCTCCTTCTTCTTCTTTTGTTCTCTGATTTACGGAACGTGAAGAACCCAACTGTCAAAAAGGAGGTATCGCTTGTTCATCCATCGTCCAGATGGATTGGATCATGGCGGCGACTCTGTTTTCTCTCTCTTCCACCGCACTTTATTTACCCGCGTCACACGCTCCAAAAATATTTAATCATTGGTGTAAAAATTAGGTTAAATTAGAAGGTCTAATTTCTACCTTCAAAAATATATATTTTATAATTTTTTTAAAATATTTAATAAATTCATAAAATTTTAATTTTACCTTGAAAAGGTGAAATTTTAGATTCTTAAATTTTAAAAATTATAATAATTAAAATTTTAATTTTATTTGTTTTGTACATTTAAAAACTAACAAATATATTAGATAAAAATTAAAATATTAGAATTAAATTTTAAGTTTATTGCTATCTTAAACTAGAAAATGAAGGAGATAATTCTCCCTTGCAGACGTGTTTTCAAATCCTGAGGTTGTTGGTAGTACATAACGAGTCAAAGCGTATCCGCTATCTATTAGCAATAGGCTTGAATCGTTACAAATGATATCATATCCAAACACTAGGAGGTATTCCAACGAGAACGCTAGGTCTCCAAGGATGTGGATTATGAGATCCTACGTTAGTTGATGAATGAAGCGAAGCATTCTGTATCAGGGAGTGGAAATCTCTCCCTAGCATACACGTTTTAAAATCGTAAGGCTGAAAGCGATAGGTAACGCGTCAAAATGAACAATATCTGCTAGCGATAGGTTTAAGTTGCTACACGAATATAAAAAATTGTGAACTAAATTTGTAATTTAACTTGAATAATAAAGTATACTTCTATTTTCGACAAGATTATAAAATATCAATTCAACTAATGTATATACTTAGAAACAAATTGTTTGACCTAGAAAGTGACTGCCTTACCGTAGAGAATATTTGTGTTACCGTAGAGAATCTTAAGGAATATTCTTTCCTATTATAAGTTATAAATGCCAAAGTACGAAAATAATTAAGATATATTTTATAATGTAGGTTACAGTTAGCATACCGACATCTAGCTTACATCCATGAAGGGTCTTTTTGTCTTTTTACTTTTAAACAAAATTAAAACTTTTTTTTTATATATATATATATAAAGATTATACTATACCACCCAAACTCAAATGTGAAAATCCTATTCAGAGACAGTTGAAGTGCACGTTAAAAGATTTGGGATCAAACGAACGCAATTGAGACATTCATATATATATATATAAATATATATTATTTTTCACATCTCAATTAAAAAAATTGTTATTTTTAAGTATTATATGAATCACTGATTAAATTATGAAGGGCGTGTATTATCTGTAAATTGGGTTGGGATAGGTTCGAGCAGTATTGTCCAAAATTGATAGGTAAATACTCTTTTATGGATCTATCTCCCCATATTTATCTACCATTTTCTGGTAATAATCATTTTTCCCCTTCTTTATATCGTATTATTGTAACCATTGTTATGCGAAGAAGACACGTCATAATTATTATAGGTAGAAAATTGAAAGATGTAAGAAATTATTACAGAAATAAATAAAGTCATACAAAATTTATAAACGTTTCCTTAGCTCAGCCCTTCTCTACGATGCCTATTGAAGCTATTTAAAGTGACATGATAAAGCACTCGTTTTTAATAAAATAAATTAAACTGGAGTGTGTTATTCTAAAAAAATAAAAATAAATAAAATTTGTTATGAAAAGATTATTTTTCTAAATTATTGGAAATAGTTAATTATAATTTTTAAAAATGTAAAATAATTTTAAATGATTGGTAGATCTAATTTAAAAGATAATTTTTTAATAATTAAATTAATGATTCCTCTCCCATCCCAGCAATAAAGATTTAAGAAAAGGATGTATTTGCAAAATAAAAATTATAAAAATAATTTCTCGTGACTAAGGCCATCACAAGTTGCTTTCTCGTGTTTTTTTGGGTGAATATAAAAATAATTTCTTCAAATAGGTGACCACCTACAAATTTAATGTTCAAAATATTTTTTAAAATTTTCATTTTTTATTATTATAATTCATAACCCGACCAAGGACTATCCGACCTATATAACTCGATAATGTGATCGAGGACTGTTCAACCAAACCATATATGTTGAAGTGCGTTAGATATTTTTTCGGTTTGAGTTGAGATGCGTCAAGGAAGATTATGAGTTTTAGTTATTAATATAATATTTATTATGAATAATATAATTTTTTTCTAATAATAATAATAAAAAAAAAAGAATAATTCGATCCTAAAACTAATTAGATAAATTATTTTAAAATTTACATTTATTTTATTTTCTAACAAATTAATAATAATTTTGAGTACATATAACGTGAGTAAATAATAAGCAATTTTATATATTAAAAAAAATATAGAAAAAAGTTTAAAAAAAATATATTGAGAGATTTAAGAACGAAAATGAATATTGAAAGTGCTTACAAACTCAATAATTAAAATGAAATTTAATTCATAATTCAACGAGTCAAAATATTATTTATGATAAATAATAGTTTTTATTTTATTTGTAGTTAGTAAAAAATAATAGGTGGGGGCAATATCGGGCTAGCAGGAAAAAATGACGCACATGGTAGTTCTACAAAGCACGTGCTTTTGGAGGCGTATAGAAGACGAACGTCCCCAACAAGGCCACGTGACTCTCATCACATAAGGGTTGCCCAAAACGAGTGGCCTTGTTTAGGGCAATTAGCAGATATCTTGCGAGAAGTGGGACCCTTCTCTTTCAGTTTGTAATTGGACAAAAATACCCTTCATGAGAATTAATTTTTAGTTTAATTGTTTTGCAAATTTAACTACTAAAAATTTGGTTTTTTCATGGTTCCTCTAAAATTATATTTGATTATTTAATATGATACAATTATATGCTTATATTTATTTTATTTTTATTTAATTTCATAATTATTTTAAAATTATTTATTCTTTAACGACTTTTAAAAATAGTAAATTGTTACTATAGCAACCTTGCATATTTACACAACTTAGAACAATATCTTACCAATTTCAGATATTTGATTAAGTCAAATTTTACCCATGGTACCATTTTGAATCAGTAATTTAGCTTTTCTTGAACCGAATGTCCAAAACTCAAAACAATTATATTCTTTTTTAGATTTTTTTAAATCATAAAAATAATTTTTTTTTTTTTTTTTTTTTTTTTTTTTTTTTTTTNTTTTTTTTTTTTTTTTTTTTTTTTTTTTTTTGGAGTAGATCAATTTTATAATTTAATTTAAATAAATATATATATATATAATCAATAATTTACAAAAATATACTTGCCTTGGAGTGAGATTGTGTTCTGAGGAATTTGGAAGCTTTGACTCACAAGACTGACACAAACCAACTTTAGAAAAATATATCGAATATGAAAATTAAAAAATTAAAAATTTAGAAATTTGTTTGATATTTTAAAAAGTTTATAGAACAAATAGATACAAATATAAAAAAAAGTAAAAGTTTAAATACTAAATTTATAATTTATTTTTACGGTTTTGATTTAGTACGACAAAATTGGGTTAAAAATGTAAAAACAATAAGCTCTCTAGTGATAAAAAAAAAAAAAAAAAAACACATTAGGTAAAAAATGTCTAATATAGTTTGTATCGTATCTGTCAACAGATTCGTTAATTTAAGCTAGGGACCCAAACTACATGTGATGGTATATTTTTAAAATCTTCCATAATTAATGATATTTATCACAATTTTGACTTATCCATACAAATTTTTTTTTAAAAAAAAACCATAAAAATTGATTAATATTTCCATAAATATGTACCAACAGCCGTCAATATCTTAATTTAAATATTATGCCTAGAATTCTTTACTTATATCTAAACTAATTAAAAAAAAAAAAAAAGGATATTCAAATTATTTCCAATATAATCGAGTCAGTCAACTGTATTCAAATATACTACAGAAACCAATCTAAAAAAGCAACCTCGTTGCATATCGTCAATCAGCTCAGAAGAACATTCCTGCCCAATGATAATGACCTAATAACGGTGAAATTTCCGATCTGAAATCCAGCAACTTCTGTAAACAGAAAAGGGCTGGCATGTTATACAGGATTACTCCTAGTAGTAAACTGAACAGTTTCTTTTCACTTTGTAGTGGCCCTAGTACTCAAAGAAGAGTGGTAATTGGTACTTCTTTGCTTCCTATAAGAAGTATAAACATCATCATATTGACTATCCTCATTCGGATTGGCGGTAGCCCCTAGTCCTAACCTTCCCAAGCCTTTTCGATCTACACTTCCATCGGCATACGCACCTGTCTCTGGGTCAACCTGAAGGTTGGGAGGAGGAGGAATGCAAGCTCCACCCTTACGTACTGCTGGTTCTCTCTCGTATTCATAATCGTCGTCTTTGGAATCGGAGCTCATTGGTCCTTCTGAGGGATTAACCTCTCCAATCTCTTTGAAGAACTTAGACACTTTCTCAAGAACTTCAGAGGGAGATATATTGGGTGGGGGAATAATAGTTGGAATATCCAAAGGGCTCATGGGAGAGTATGGGACTCCACTTCCAATCTGCATTTTTCTCACCATTCCAGGAATAAGACCAGGAGGAAACAAAGGATAAGGAGGCAATTTTTCACCCACAGCAGCAGGCTGTGGTGGCATTGATTGGGCATTGGGACGTTGGTTTGGTAGTTGAACAGAAGTTGGTAAGGGAATGGAGTTTACGAAAGCAGCAGTTGGTAGAAATTGCTGCGGCGTTACAGGTCTTGGCAGCACTTGGCCCGAGGCGACAGCCTTATCGGGGTGCTCTTGATCAGGAAAACTTGGAATGGTGACTTGCCTGTCAGGTTGCCATTGGTTCATGGCATGGTTATTTGTATGTTGTGTTAATCCTGCATGGCACCAAGAAGTTTAAGAAAGATTATTCTCATTTTTCATATTTTCTCACTATAGCAGTCTGCAAATGAGAACGACATGAATGCAAAGAAAATAACAGAGAGAGGCCTACCAGCAGCTGAATCAACTGAAGAGGGCAGCTCTTTTGAATGCCCTGGCAAAGTTTTAGTTGGTATTCCATTAATCATTTCACCCTCAAGTGTTTTAATAGTATCTTGATCATATATCTCTTTGGACGCCCAGAACTGTACCAACTTCTGTAATTTCAAATGGCTTTCCTCCTTGATTTGAGGGTTGTGATATACTCTTGCAAGCATGGAACCTACAACTGGTTTGAAAGCTAGAGCTTCGTTGTCAAGGTCATTTTTATTGTTTCTTCGCATCATGCTGCAAAATTAGGACGAAAGATTAATGGAGAAGAAGTTCATACACCTCAAATAACTATGTCGTAGTACTGCTATCAGATTTGTTAGTCACCCCGAAGGATAATATATTGAATAGAACTTCTATCAGAACCAAAAATTCTCGAACTGAATGTGTGCATGATACAAATAATTAACAACAAACATTTTATTCCTGTCATTGAAGACATTCATTAATATTAAACTCAGTCATTCAAGAACCATTGCAGTGGAAAACATGACAAAGTGATTATATTTAAGGAGCAAGACAAGAGAAAACATCCCTAATGTAACAGCCCAAACTCACCGCTAGCAGATATTGTCTGCTTTGTCTCGTTATGTATCGCCGTCAGCCTCAGGATTGTAAAACGCGTTTGGTACGAAGAGGTTTCCACACTCTTGTAAGGAATGCTTCGTCTCCAACTGATGTGGGATCTCACAATCCACCCCCTTGGGGGTTAGCGCTCTTGCTAACATACTGCCCGGTGACTGGCTCTATACCATTTGTAATAGCCCAAGCTCACCGCTAGAGGATATTGTCCACTTTAGCCCATTACATATCGCTATCAGCCTCACGGTTTTAGGTTTCCACACCCTTGTAAGGAATGTTTCGTTCCCCTCTCCAACCGACGAGGGATCTCATAACTCACTTAATGAACTATTAGTTTAGACAAGTTTTTTTTATTATCATCATTATTTTATTTTATTTTTTTATACAGAAAAGTACATGGTATTCAACAACAATCATTAACTGCAGCATGCTAATGACACTAAACCAATAAACTATAAATTCCAAATACCAATAACGGAAGCAGTCATGTGATAGTGTACCTCTCAAAAAGAATGTCATTGACAAGGTATATAATATGAAGTTGCTTCTCGGAATCATCGATGTTAAATATCATGTCTCTAAGTGCCTCAACCATAGCTGGAGCAAAAGGAGACCGCTGCATGAACCAAGTTTTAGCACTTTTAATCGATTCTTTAGAACCAGTGAGATTACTAAGCACATTGTTTAGCTCCAAAGCAACATCAGAAGGGAGAGGTCCAGAAAGCCCTTCAAAAGATTTTGAAGGTTGATCATAGTCTGATCGACCAGGCACACCAAAAGCCTGTTGATGGTGCTGTTGCTCATAGAAAGAAGCAAAAGGAGTTTGATGCATTTGAGGAACCCCAATTATCGATGCAGAAGCATTCAATGGAGGAGCATTAAGAGGAGATGGACTTGTCATAGGATTTGGAAGAGGGTGCAACGTGGGCATAGATGAAGATGAGAAGGGAGAATTGAAGGGTGAAAGATGTGGGCGAGTCATTAGCCAAAGCTTATAACGATAGTAACTCTGCCCCTCCCCACCAAAGAGGAAGCCATATGCTGGATTATCCTGTTGCTTTTCACGTATCATGGATTCAAATTCAGGGCCATTCTTTATGATATACTCCACAAGTTTATCAATTCGTTTTTGGAGCTCGGGGTCCGAAGGAGGTGGAACTGATGGTGGAGGAGCAGAATCATAGGGAACATGGAAAGGTGATGGACCCATTGGAGGAGGTAAGTGAGGAGAAAAAGCTGGTGGTGGCTGCTGCTGCTGCTGTTGAAGATGAAGAAGGTGAGGAAGAGGTGGATGATGTGGGTGGAGTGGTGGTTGCTGCTGCATAGGGTGGTGGTAAGGGAACTGTTGCATAGCAAGATGTGGCCGTAGGAAAGGGGGACCCGGAACAGATGGAGGAAATTGTTGATGTTGGCCATGAAATCCAAACGGCTGCTGTTGTTGCAGATTATTTGCCTGTCTCTGCTGCTGGGCATAAGCCAGAGCAGAAGCAGCTGCATAATCTTGAGACTGTCGATCCATTAGCTATCCAGAATTCTAAAAGAACTATGAACTGGATAAAAATCTCGATAAATTCTTCGATCTACAGGCACAAATATGACAAAGAAACAGATCATTAATCATCCTCCTAACGATCAGCAGCTAAAATTATGTCACAGCCACATTCATATAATCGGGCAAGTCCAAATCGAAAGTAAGTATCAACCAACTACATTTTACTCAATCCTGAAAGTTCTGAACTAAAATCCTCGAAAAACATGTCAGCGAACAAAAACATACATAAACCGCTTAACTTCCAGTACTTTCCCACGGCTTTTACAGAACATTGTGAACAAAAAAACAACCAGAAAACATTTTATCTTTATCATCATAATCTCAGCAACTCATCACCGCCAGTAAAATTTAAAAATGTTCAAGTGCCAGAACATACCTACAACATCAGCGTCGTCTTTCAATCCAGCCTCCGAGCAGGCTTCACACTCTTTCTTGGTCTTTCCTTCCTTCTCTCTCTCCGTTCTTGCAATTTCACGATGGCTCCGGCGAGGTCAATCGTCGGTCGCCGCTGTAATTTCCGGTCTACTAAACGGATCCTTAGGGCTACAAGCGAACCTGCAATAAACGCATTCGTCGTGTCCGGACTCCGGAATGGAACCGGGGAAATTAAATAATTTTCTTGAATCTTCACCTTTTTTCATGTTTCGATATTTAATTAAAATTAGCATATTTTTTCAGAACAAGTTAATTACGAAAACATTACTTAGCAAATACTCTTGTTAGTATTTAAATTTCAATTAGGATGAGTTAATTATGAAAAATGAGTAAGATAATTAATTAATTATTTATTTTGAAAATAGTAAAATAAGAACGATGGAGGTCCACGGAGTGGGTCGGGAACGGGAATGTTTTGATGTTTGAAAAAAGTAAAATAAGAACAAAATATGTTCACGAAGTGGGTCGGGGACGGGAAAGATCTCTACCTCTCGTTTCAATCTCGTAAAATTTTCTATTTATTTTTTTGAGATTTCCACATCGATGAATTTACTGGATAGGGACGGAGACATAGACAAAGACCTAAAATATATTTCCGTTAATTTAAAAAAATATATGTATTTCTACTCTTCCATTTATTTCTCATTTAAATAAAGATTCTCCGAGTGCTATAATAATAATAATAATAATAATATATAATAATATAATAATATATATATATATATGAAAGAAAAGAAAAAAAAAAGAGAAATAAAATGACAACCCTCAGTGGCGCGAGATTGGCTTTACTTCATCCAAAAACCTCTGACCCAAAACCCCTCTTTTCTCTGTCGATCGGTTCCTTCTGAAACTGTGTTCATATCTTTCTTGTTCTCTCTTTGTTCTTGGAATGCCCGCCAATTGATACTGTTGAGGCAATGGGCCAGCTTCAGAGGAGCTTGTTCTTGGCCACTACGTCCAGTGATGCCATTACTTCCTCTGTATTTTTCAACTACTCCGTCTGTGTCATCCTCACGACTCGGTTCTTTCATGGCCAAGGTTCTCATATTCTATAGATTGCTTTCTGTAGTGTTGTCTGGAGTTTTAAAGTGCTTTTAGAAAATTTATACTCTTGCGATTCTCTGTATAGCAGCAAGTACTGTATTAGAGCTGAACTTTATGAAAATTCTGAGAACCTAGTATTGATCAATAATATTTAGCTAGGAATAGCGTTGGGGAGAGTTTCAATTTTATATTGGCATGAAGTTTTGTTAGCAACAAGCAAACTTCTTGTGTTCGACATTTTGGTTACTTTCTATCATTTGTTCGTTTTCTAAAGGTTTTGGAGTGGTCGAGAGAATTTATATATTGATCGGATGGTAGTGTGGTAGGTTACCAATCTCTATCTATTTTTGTATGAGTTATTTAATTCATTCTCGTACATTCTGATTAGAGATTTGTCTCGCGGAAAACATTAAAGACGAATGGTATGAACATCTTAGAAACGTAAGTGATAACAGTCAATACAATCTTCCTAGAAGAAACGTTGGAAGAGTTGCAATTTTGATATACACTTGGATTTTTATTAACACGCCCCTGTAAACTCCTGGTACTTGACATTTGGTTACTTCCGCTCACTTGTATTTTCCTTTTTTGGTGCGTTGGAGTGACCTAGTGAATTTATGGTTTTATGGCAGTTAGCTGTTTGATAACGTTTCTTCTACCAATCTCTCTTTGCTGCTTGAATGGTTGTTTTTGAGTTTTTAACATAGCAATTAGTTTTTTTCAATTTTTAAATTGTAAATTTTATTGTAAGAATATTAGGCTTATTTAATAAAACTAGCATTATTGATTCCTAATGTTTATTAGTTTTTCTTTTCAAGAAGATACTCTTATTTTGAGTAAGAACTGAACTTTCATCGAAAAAAGGAAAGAATATGAGGGCATACAAAAAACAAACTCCAATAGAAATAGGAGTCCGGCACTAACTACAAGAAGGGATATCAATCCAAAAGTAGAAGACCAATATTATAATTTCAAAAATGCCTAGTGACCAATAGCCACAAGGGAGCCTGAAACCTAATAACCTCTCAAATCTCCTCATCCGACTTCTTGATCTCCCTTAAAATTCTATTATTTCTCTGAAGCCAAATACCCCACAACACAACAAAGAAGCTAGCTTGCCGCAACAATTTGCCTTCTCCTTCTTATAAAGAAGATACTAACATAAGGCCCCTTTTTTAAAAATAAATAAACATGGAATCGACTGATTCCCAAAACCATGATACAGAAGAGGAAAAGGGGTTAACCCTGAGGATAACCAAATCCCAAGCGAAAGGCTTAACAAATAACGTGAGGCATTTTATAAAGTCTATTATGTTTGGTAGAGATACTGAGGACAAGAGCCATCCCGACCTACAAATGAAGTTATTGTAGCTTAGAGTGGGATTACAAAACAATAAAGCTTTTCATATGTCAATGAACAGTTCGTGTACATTTTTTGTTTTCTATAAAATGAAGTAATTCCTGGGCATCGATTATACGAGACTATGACTACAGTATTTCTCTTTCTAAAGTAATTGCATCTGTTTTTCTTCTTCTCTTTTATTTTAAAATGTAGCTGACATCAATTTCAGTTGTGTATGTGCCTAAAGTTTTTTTCTTTTAAAAAAATTATGTACCAGATTCAAGTCGATAGTGGACTTGCAGATGAGTCCATCATTTGCCTATCTACATGCTCAAAAGTTCAATTTCGGGGATTTCAAGAAGTTTTTGAGGTACGATAGTCCTGCTAAATATTCTTTTAGAGACAGAAAGAGAGAGATTGATTATTTTGTTTACTTTGCATGATTGGGATCCCTCTTTCCTTGAGCTCTCTTTTGGAAATAACGTTAGTTCCTTATCTTATTATTTTTCTGCATTAGTTTCTTTTTTATCATCTATCTAAAAAATCTCATATTAAACTTTTTGGTTATCCATTGGGATGATGTCCAAAATTCAACAAATGGAATTACTTCCGTCTCAACAAAAGTGGAAATTCACTTTAATTAAAATATTCTTGGTTTTCCTTCATCTATTTATTATTATTTCTTAATCAAAATTGAATTTCTTGAGAGATTGGCTAATTTAGATGTCTAGGGCTTTCTTTGGAAGGTTCTGAAGAGGGAACAGAGAATCGTCTGGATGATTGGAATGTCAGAAATAAAAATACATTTATAATGAAAAATGGTTTTGGAGATTCCATATTAAAAGGAAAGCCCTTTGGCATAGCGTATTAGTAAGATGAGATTGATGAGAGGAGAAGGGTGTTCAGGGATTTGTCTAGTTATGAATTTACATTGTCTTAATCTAGTAGTTAGCATGTCTCTCGCTCTCTCAGATGCATTCTCGTTCTTATATTTTTAATCTTATGTGCATATTAGCTCTAAAACAGAGTTCTACAAGGAATGTTTAGGTAGGGTTGTTTACTTTCAAACTTAATGATTGCTGTTTTGAGTTCTAACCGTTTGAACCTTGTATTGTAGCTCCCACTTGGAGTTTTCCTTTTAAATGTTTTTGAAATTTTTTTACCAACTATTCATGCTAATTGGTCCTACTTTTTGTAAGTTCCAAGGTGCTTTTGCTCTGGGAGCACATCTTATCTACCCACATGTTCGCACATCATTTCTCCTTGAAAATTTGTTTCTTACTTATTATTTTGCCTTTGTGAGGTCGGGTAATTTTGGGTTGTAAAGATCTAATTATTTGTCAGGATCCAGAAGCTGGTTCCGTCAGACATAAAGAACATGAAGAGAATGGACGAGATGAACTGTTTAGGATCCTCAATGAATTGAAGGTAGATTTTATATTATTGCCTCCGATAGGGAATTTTGTTATTTGTAAATATCTACTAGACAGCAACTTATTTCTATTTTGTACAAAAAATTATGATGTGAAGTGTCTGTATATTTATTTATTATTGAAACATCAAAGAAATTCTTTGCATTTGATTTTCTCCTACGGCTAGTTGGCATACAATTTCCATAAAATTGAGCATTTTTCTTCTTATTTAATTGTACCCCGTTTCATGCTCGCAATTTTTCCTTGAGTTTTATTTTTGAATGGTGATTGCAGTAGAACTGACTGTACAGAAATGTATATTTATTAACCAGTTATTTTTAGCCAGGGGATCAATTGTCTCTAGGCGCAGTTGAACTCAAGCAGCATTTTACCCAGCCCCCACCTCGCTATTCTGAGGGAACATTGGTAAGTGCAGCCTAACTATTAGACTGAAAATTTTGAGCCTATAGATAGCCGAATACTTGGAAAATATCATTGTTGTCACCATGTATCATTGATATTCAAGAGCTTACACATTTTCATATTCTGTTTAAAAAATTCCATTGGAAAAAAATTGGGTTTCTGACAAACGTAGGAGATTGGTGTACGTGTCCATTTTCCCCCCTTTCTTTACCATTTGTCATTTTGTTATATTCACCTTATTGCATGTCTTTATTTAAATGCATGCATTTTTCTCATGTTTACCGTATTTTGAATTTTTATATTTCTAAATTCTAATTCTGGACTGATGATGAGTTCAAGAGCTTAAAAATCTTCATGAATGGGCCAAATAGTATAGAGAGCCTGGTAGCAGCCAGTTCTCTTATCATGCTGTTTACTGAACGAAACCCGTGTTAGAAAAAATTCATAGTCACATCTAGTTATGGAAATTTAAATTGTAAGAAATTAGTTGTTTGATGTATAACTATAAATATTAATACTAGTTTTTCTTGAATATTTAGGTATATTTTTATTTCACTTTTGCCCCTTTCTGCTCTACTAGATATATGATAGAATTTGGGGGGCCATTTGTTAGGTCATGCCCTTATTAGTCTTAATATCTATTAGGTTTCTCAAATCATGTGCATAAGCGCCCCATAATGTAGAGATATTCTTACATCATTTTGGTTTTTCTTTTGAAGTTTTCTTATTTCACTGGAACTGGATACTACAGGTTAAGAGGATGGAGGAGCTAGGGATTGGGAGACCTTCCACATATGCATCCACATTAAAAGTTTTACAGGTTGATCATTGAAAATGATGATTTTTTTTTTTTAACAATATGTGGGGTGGGACATTTGTCCTCTGAGTCAAGGGTACATGCTTTCAGTTTTATTTTCTATGATATGAAGCTTCATGAAAATGATGAATGATTGCATCCTATCATGTGGAGGATATAGCTTAGAATATTAGTGTTTTGAATATCCTATTCTTGTGCTAAGTAGATAACCAGTTTCTTTCTGTTAAATATCTTTTATTGCTTCTTGGAGGATTGAATAATCTTATTGTTGCTATTGTAACTTCAAGACTAAGATTCCTTTACAGACTTGTACAAAATGTGATTCATTTCCACATTCAAGTGAACGCACAACTGCTTTAAACTTGAACTTGTTTGGGGCTATTTGATGCCCTGGTCTGTTAACAGTTTTAAATTTTACGTGGCATGATAAACCTTACATGTATTCATCAATTATTCTATTTATTGCCGTTCGAAGTGATTGATTACATTGTAGCATAAAGTGATAAAGAACAGAACTTGCATCTCTTTTTTGAGGTTTGCCTGTAAGGACTTCGACAATTGTATTGATTCTGACATGCCTTTTCACGTCATTTGTTTACAATTTCATGATGATGTCATATATTTGCTTATTTAGTTGATTTATTTTACTATCAGGACAGAAACTATGTGTTGGTGAAAAGCCGTGTTCTACATCCAGAGTTTCGTGGGCGCATGGTATGCTTTTAACTCTTAGTTACATCAATTTCCAATTCTACAAAATCTAATTTCATTGTTTTTTTTTTAAATCATAGCCACTCATAGGATGAAAAGAGTTACTTCTTCCTAACAAATCATTTTTTAACTCCTTGTCTAGCATCTTATAATAAAGTAGGTGGATATTCAAAATGAAAGTTCCATCATTATCCACTATATCTTATCAGTACTGGTCCTACGACAAAACCGCTGGTTAATTATTAAAAGACAACCAGAAAATATTATTAAGGAAGAGGATAAGGGTTGTTCTGGACGTTTTCTTTCTGCATTATTTCACAACTACAGTTCATAAGAGTGTTTCATGCAATTCAACTATTCTCACGAGATAACTGTCATACCCTAATACAATTGGTTGCCTTGGTAACTTAATAGGATACTAAATCCTATGACTTGAACTCATTCCCAGTTCTTTATTATTCACATGACCTTGACTTTTGGCCAACATATGGTGGTTGGCGTATAAGTCTAGTACAAATGGAATCACGACATTCATAAATCCAAGTTATGGATATGGATTAGTGGGGTAATATCTATTTTCTTGGAAATTGTCAACATTTTGTTAAATGATTGACATTGTACTCGATATATATATTTTTAATATCTATTTTCTTTCTTTATGTTTTTCATTATTTCTCTCATCATTATTATTTTTAATATATAAGAAATGGACAATGTTTAGAGCATACAAAAAAAAAAAAAAGAGAGAGAGAGAGAGACTACAAAAACAAGGTCGGTTGGTAGTTAATAACCTTAAGAAGGCTGTAATAACAAAATAATTTTTTGTAGTGCTCCTAAATGTTTTATGTTTCACATTATTACAAAAGGAAGCCACCGAAGCCAACTTATCCTGGTTTACTTCAATCTGAAAACTTTTCCTGGAATATCTGAAAACTTGCAATCTGATGTACTCGTTGTGTTTGATCATGGTTTACTTCATGCAATTTTTATTGCTCAAGGAAATTTCTCCTGTGGTTTTTTTTTTCTTCCTCGTTCGAGACCTATTGAAACTGCACTTACGGTTTCTTTTTAAAGTTTTGAATTTGAATGACCTTTTTGTCTCTGAATGTATCAGAATCTAACCTTGCGTAATCTTTTCGCTCATATATCTTAGTTGTTAGGTTTAGACACACCACACATCAGAAATAGAGAGAGAAATTCCATTAGATATGTCGAAATAACTCAGCTTCTTGATCTTTAAATTTATTTTCAAAGATTATTGTATTCATATAGCCCCTTGAAACCTATGGTCAAGCTTACGAGCCTCAAAAGATACTTTTTCTACAAGCGTTCACTTCTTTTGCATTGCTTCCAAGTTCATAGGCGTATCACAAATAGCATACGGGACCTACTCTTTGTATAAGTCTCCTTTTGCACCCATAAGGATTAGTTTCTGTATTTTATAATTTAGACGGAGCAAGTTCTTTGTTTGCCACAACTTGCCTTTAAAATTCCATTTTGCAAAAGCTATTTTTCTTAATACATGTGAATTATTGGGATTGGTTGTCTGTTCTTTAGCACAAAATGGATAAATGTTCTTTCAATTTTGTGTCAGTTACTGTTTTTCCTTAGATGATACTTGTTTGATTCCATGTAGCAACTGAAGAGGCTCTTTTGATACTGAATTGAGACTTGTGTTCTTCCATTTCTGATAAGAAAAGAAAAATTATATCAACTGTCAAACATGAATTAAGAAAAAAGATAATGATTGAATCTCTCTACTGATAAATGTATCTGCAATTTTTTTTAACTCATGAATCTTCATTTAAAACTGGACCTTTGTTCTTCCAGATCAAGGACGTGGACTCTATTACACTTGAGGATGCCCTTGAACTATTACATTACCCTATTACTTTGAGCACTTCTTGACAGGGACATCATCCAAAGGATGGTCAACCAGTGATACTAAAGATTGCAAAAGCTGGATTCACCATTAGACATCGGCACACGATGGCTTCCCTTCCTAAGGTCTTTTTTTTCACTTCCTCCCTTTTTCAATTTGGCTATAAAATTCCTTCCCCATTTTTGCTTATGAATAAGAACGTTTCCTCTAAATAACACGAGGATGTTTAACTCGACGTTGAACGTTATTTGAACGCAAAAAGAAAAGAAATAATCTCTTTTCTTGAAAATTCAAACCTACAACCATTAGGCGAGGATATCGATACTCTAGGTCTTATTTTTACTTGACTGATGCCATGTTCTCTCATTGGTCTTCTTTCTGTGGGCATGGTTTTCTTGGATGCCATTACTTCAGTTCTTTAGGGGTTCTCTTGATTCATATTAGCTGGAAGTTTGTTTGCGATCATCACGATCGGGATATATATATATATATATGTACTCTAACCGGTTGAAATTAATTTGCATTTTTTAGTTCAAACAGAAGGTGAAGATTCAAGTATCTTAAAACGTTTGTTATTTTGACAGAATTTGAAGCCGAGTGACATCGATTTAGATAAAGCGTTGAAGCTTCTATCAGGTAAGGATGTTAGAAGGTCTGGGCGGCTTAAAAGCAAGCCCAAAGTTGAGGAAGCTGTTGATGCCCTTTAGGCTCCACAAAAAAGGGGCTTTATTTATTGAGTTTTGCGGCTACACCAGGAAGAATTTGCATTAGGGATCTTAACTTTATGGCAAATTTAGGTTCATTCTCCCTATATTATTTATTTTAAATTCCGTCTGGATTCATTCATGTAAGAAGACCCATTAGATGATCATACACACACTTTGACAGCTAAATTACATGTATCCTTTAATTATAATTATTGAAAAATAAGAACACTCATTTAGTTTGAGAATGAACAATTACTTGCAAGCATGACAAAAATTTTGAAATTGTTAAAATCGATTTTGCAATCTTTGAAACAACTCTAAGATATGCGGGTAATTGTTTAACGATTTAAAATGAATTTGATAGTAAATTATGTTTAAAAGTGTAGAATCAAAATTGAATTAATTTTGACAATTTTAAAATTACACTCAAATATGTTTTTAATGTAAAATAGAAAAATGATTTTGATGCATAGAAGTTTGTATATACAATCAAATAAATTATAAAAGAATGGGATTATATACATAGATCTCTATCACTAGCCCCTCTCTTGCTTCTCTAATATACAATCAAGTAAATTATAAAAGAATGGGATACTAAAGGATAGAGAATTTGTTCATCACGTGAGCAAATGATGAACAAAGGACAAATATGGTCTTCAATTTATATACAAATTGGCTTTCTGCCCTCACTGTAACATTCAAAAAAAAAAGAAAGAAAAAAACTGCCCCTTGTTTATCTCGAGCTGTCGTATGATTGCGGAGATGAACTCATCATTCCCTGCGGTAAAATCATCGTCGTGTTAGAGTGCTAATGATAGAAAAAAATTTACTTTTTGAGGTCAGGTAAGAGTATGTTTGGGAGAGCATTGTAATTGTAATAACCCAAGTCTATCGCTAGTAGATATTGTCTTTTGTGGGCTTTCCCTTTCGTGAAGGGTACTTCCCTCCCTCAACGTTTTTGAGAAAGGTTTCCACACCTTTGTAAAGAATGGTTCGTTCCTCTCTCCAACCGATGTGAGATCTCACAATCCACTCCCTTCGAGGACGTTCACAAGCCACCTCCTTCGAGGATGCTCACAATCCACCCCCTTCGAGGCCCAGCATCCTCGCTAACACTCATTCTTCTCTCCAATCAACCACCCTCCTTTGAGGCTCAGCGTCCTCGCTGGCACACTGCCCAGTGTCTGGCTCTTATACTATTATTGTGAGATCCCACATCGGTTGGAAAGGCGAACGAAAAGGGTATGGAAATCTCTTCCTAACAGACATATTTTAAAAACCTTGAGAGGAATCCCAGAATGGAAAGCCCAAAGAAGATATAATATCTGCTAGCGGTGGGTCTAAGCCGTTACAAGCATACTCGAATGGTAGTACGTTTTTTTGTTAGTATTTGTTCAGAAAGTACTTGAAAGTAGAGGAAAATAAGGTTAAAAGTAGTTTCTTGAATCAGAAGAAAATGTTTTGCTCATGGAAGCAAAAGATAAAGGCAATGATAAACTCACCAACGGTATAGAAACTTGGCTGCTGCTGCGAGTGGGGCTTATGTCTCCCATCAGTGTTGGGTGCATATAATCTTCTGCAATAGTTCTCAACCTGTTAAGCTCGGGAAGGACTTCCTTTCCAAGATCAGGCCTATCTTTACGTCTTAACTCGGCACACTTGAGCGACAACTTGGCAAACGACAACGCTTCTTCAACAGGCCAATCGGTAACGGCTGGATCGAGAATATTTGCAAACATGTCATTCTCGATCGCTCGTTCGACATGGTGAGTCAATCCCATTGGCGGTCGAGAAGTTATCAGCTGGAGAAACATGATGCCTAATGAGTATATGTCTGATTTCACGCCAAGCATGCCTGTCTGCTGATACTCGGGATCAATGTAGCAAAATGTTCCAGCAGTTGATGTCATTCGGTACTGTGTTACGTTATCCGCAACCGATGGAGGTACGAGCCTAGCTAAGCCAACGTCGCTGATCTTACTAACAAAGTTACGATCGAGCAAAATATTAGCTGGTTTGAGATCACGATGCACGAGTGGCTCTGGCTTTGTTTGGTGTAGGAACAACAATGCTGTTCCAATTTCACCTGCAATTTGAAACCTGAGCTGCCACGAAAGTGGAGGCGTGTTTCCTCGTCGTAGAAGTCGATCTTCTAAGCTCCCATTAGCCATGAACTCATAGACCAAGCAGCCGTACTCGGGGCACGCTCCGAGGAGGAGCACCATGTTTGGATGGCGTATACAGCTAAGTACTTCTACCTATGAATCGTTATATTAGATAAAGTTATGAGACCTCTTAGACGTTCTAAAACATGGAAGTTGTTCGGTAACGTACCTCTTGTTTAAACTGCAATCGTCCTTGAGTTGCATCGGGACGTAAAACCTTAATGGCAACAGGAGTATGATCAAGATCACAATTGTAAACCGGACCATAACCGCCTTCTCCGATCTTACGAGATTCAGCAAAGAATTCCGTTGCCTCTTCGATCTCCTCGATCGTATACTTTCTATACCTGATATCGCTTTGTGACAATGCATCAATAGCCCTTTTCTTTTCTTCAGCTTCTTTGTGAGCTTTCATTTCAGCCTTCATTCTTTTCTGTGCTTCCAATTCTGCAATCCTCCTAGCTGCTTCTGCCGCCTCAATGGCTGCTTTTGACTTCGCCTTCTCCTGTTCGGCTAGCGCCAATGCAGCTTCCCCGGCCAATCTCGCCTCTTCTATTCTTTGTTCTTCTTCTAATTTCCAGCGTTGCAGCTCGACCGCCTGCATCTCGAAACATAGATATCATGAAACAGCCATCGAAAGCTGGTCTCGATATCCATCCGTGTTATTAGATCGGTTCGTCTTACCTTTTGTTTTGCTGTAAGTGCTTCCTTGCAGGCTGTGCTGTACATTTCCATGGTTTGCTTGAGTTCTAGCTTGAGCCTACGCATCTCAGCCTCCACATCTTCCTGCACCATCATATAAAAGTTCATATAAAACAAAGCTTTATTGCATCAAATGAATGGAACCATAGGCAATAATGTGGCTCAAAACTTACCAAAGACTGTGATGAGATTGACAATCTATCACTATCTTGCGAGATCGAAGAGAACTCAGACGGGAAGTTCATATCCATCGATAACCGTCCCATCGGTAGAGACTCGAAGCTCCGAGTCAAGTCAAGATTTGTACTACTCGACATCCGTGGTGGGGTGGCTCTTCCTCCCATATCTAGGCTGTCATAAACTGAAGGAAATATACGATCAATGCTCGGTCTTCCTGAGCTAACGTACGATATATCTGATTCTTGAAAAGACGAATCTCCATACGACGGTTTGTAATTGTATCCTTTCCTTGTGAAGGGTGACCTGGTTTCAACAACATTTTGCTCATCAGTATGCCTAACAAAGTAAGAATGTAACGGCCTAGGCCCACCGATAGCAGATATTGTCCTCTTTGGGCTTTCTGTTTTAGGTTTTCCCTCAAGGTTTTTAAAACATGTCTGCTAGGAAGAGATTTCCACATCCTTATAAAGGGTGTTTCGTTCTCCCAACCGATGTGGGACATCACAATCCACCCCCTTTCAGGGCCCAGTGTCCTCGCTGGCACTCGTTCCTTTCTCCAATTGATGTGGGACCCCATCAAACCCACCTCCCTTCGGGGTCCAGCGTCCTCGCTGGCACATCACTCGGTGTCTGGCTCTGATACCATTTGTAACGGCTCAGGCCCACCACTCGCAAACATTGTCCTCTTTGGGCTTTCCCTTTCGGACTTTCCCTCAAAGTTTTTAAAACGCGTCTGCTAGGTAGAGGTTTCTACACCCTTATAAAGGGTGTTTCATTCTCCTCCCCAACAGACGTGGGACATCACAAAGAACATGACTAGTTTACGCTTCTCGTGGATTTAGTAGTAGTTTAACACAAAATCGGAGTAAAAGTGTTTTGTTCTACTTCGATCGATATTAATAGCTAATGTATTAAAACGTCATACAATTTAGTCATAGCTTACTAAGTTAACGACTTAAGTTTTAATGTCTATTTGGACGATGTATAGGGTCACTCTCACCTCATGAAATCCGTCTCGTCCTGCGATCTACGTGGCAGATCAATGGGACGTTTATCCAAAGAGTCTGCTAACAAATTCAGCGTTAGTTTCATGGAGAATATTGGGACAACCAACAAGCATATAAGGTAAAAGGAAACTGGTTTGAAAGAAGTTAACCTCTTGCAGATGTAGTCTGAGGAAATTGGTAGTCGGACCTGATGGATTTTGTGCTGCTTTGTTGCACTAATTGCGACCGTAGAGGATTCACGACCGGAGCAGGACGAGACGCTGAACGCATCGATTGAATTTTACCTTTAGAAATGACAAACACATTGCAAAAATCTGGTGCTCCTTTTGAGACATTTCCAGGAACATCAGTTGCCTTGAATCTGCTTCATAAGAAGTTTGTATCAAGTTAATGATATCTACCAGAAACTTCAATGCTTTCTTCATACATAATAAGCCATAAAAACGACCTTTTCAACTCAACCAACTGTTCGAGTTTGATACTCATAGCTGTTCGAGTTTGATACTCATAGCTTTTGGGTTGCATTGATTGAGTTTTTCAAGTTGAACACTTAATATGTGTAACGGCACAAGCCCACCGCTAGCAGATATTGTTCTTTTTGGGTTTTTCCCCTTTCGGGCTTCCCCTCAAGGTTTTCACACCCTTATAAAGGGTGCTTCGTTCTCCTCCCAACCAATGTGGGATATCACAATCCACCCCCCTTCAGAACTCAGCGTCCTCGCTGGCACTCGTTCGTTTCTCCAATCGATGTGGGACCGCCACCAAATCCATCCCCCTTCGGGGGCCCAGCGTCCTTACCGGCACACCGCCTCGTGTCTACTCCTTTCGAGGAACAACCACCTCGTTGGCACATAGTCCGGTGTCTGGCTCTGATACCATTTATAACAGCCCAAGCCCAAGCCCACCTCTAGTAGATATTGTCCTCTTTGGGCTTTCCCTTTCGGGCTTCCCCTCAAGGCTTTAAAACACGGCTGCTAGGGAAAGGTTTCCACACCCTTATAAAGGTTTTTTTGTTCTCCTCCACAACCAATGTGGAATATCACAATATGTTTACCTAAAAACACTTACGGTTTAGATTGGACTGATCGAGTTTTTTGGGTCATCAGGTTTCTAAACACTTGTTTAGTATGTTTACTAAATGATTAAACATTCTCCAAGAGAAAAACGTCATGGGTAAACTCTATCGAGTCGATCCAATTGTTCTGAGTTTAATATTTATAGTTCGAATTGGAATTGATCGAGTTTTTTGGGGTCATCAACATTCTCGAACATGTTGACCTAATAAGAAAAGAAAAGAAAAGAAAAGAAACATACCTTAAAAAGCCAGATTTTGATGAAGCTCCCACAACAATGTTCTCTATGGCTGTATTTGCAGCATACTCAGTTAAGGCCTTAGCTATGTCTGTATCTTCCAATACAACATCTTTGCATTGAATCTGAAACTCAGAAAATAACAATAATAATAAATAATAGATAAAAAATTGAATCTTCAATAAAATAAAATAAATAAAGCTTACATCTTTTCGAGTACAAAAGCAACGAAAAGGAAGGAATAATTCTCTGACGCCAGCTTCAGGGTCACATTTCATCTCTGCATCCAAAAAGAGCTTCATCATTAGATATATATATATATATATATATATATATATATATATATATATATATATATATATATATATATA